CAAGGGGAAGGATTCCTCCTCCAACACCCAGGAAAAGCACACATTCACCTCAGTGCTGATGCCAGCAACTCCATCTCTACCACAGAAATGTGGAAATATTTTAAACCAACAGCTTTGTTAACCCCTCTGGTCCCTGTGCCCCTGGGAATGGCATCCACACCAGCCTCACTGGTCACTCTTTACTCCTTGTTTTACACCACAACGTAAAGGCAGAGAGGAACAGAAAGGGGAACTCAGCTCCCAATGCACTCCTGTCATTCCTACCATGAGACAGAGGAGTTCACAGCTTTTCTCCTCCTGCATTCCCTCAGGACTGTGAGCCTCTCAAGACAAGGACTGTATCAGATTATCATAATTCCTGTATCCAATGTACCATTATTATATTTYATATCCATTTCCTAGACAAGTAGGAAAGACTTTGTGCAGCCTACCACACCATGGCAATGTCAGAAGATGCTTTTCCTGTTTTCCCTCCCCAGCCCATGTGAGGAACACAGCCCCAAGCAGATTTTCTGCTCTTCACCCACAATGTAGGCACAGGGTTGCACAGCTCCCCCTGAAACCAGCTAAATTCACTTTATTTTCAATTGTAAAGTCCCCAGCATGTAATCCTGCACATGTTCAAAGCTGACCCAGTGTCAATRGACTGAGCAGTGTTGCTTTTAATCTGACTGGGATCCAAAAATGAGATGTAGACTCAGTCCAGTACCTGTGCTCACAGGAGTTCCCAAGAAAGCAAAATTGGCTTTATAAACAAAGAACAGTGCTGTCTGCAATTTTCCTAAAACACAGCTTGGAGATGATCCGGTGCTGACGTTCCACAAGAGCTCACCTAAGAGCCAGAAAATGAGCAGGAAGAGGGARGGATCTGTTCTTGCTCTGCCTGAGGAAATGCAAAGGTGGCTCAGGCTGCAGGATGGGGAGATGAGATGATGGGGAGGTGGAACATCTTCTCTGGGGCTGTTCTGACAGCAAAGTCCTGGCAGAGAGGAGTGAAAGGAAAAGCTCAGCGGGAACTTTGCACTGAAACAGAGGTGATGTTGGTCTGTTTTCTCTTCAAAATGTGTTTTGGAATTTTAACAGCTTTTGATTGATTGAAATATAGAAGCAGGCCTTACAGGAGTCCCACAAGACTGGTTCTTCCCCAAATCCTTTTCTACCTTTTCAACAGCTCMATCACCAGCCATGCTCCTCTTCTGCTCCCCTCCTGTCTCAGTTAATGTGGAGTTAAATCTGCACACTGAGCTGCAACTTGAGCTGAGGTGTCAACAGTGACCCTCCAACAATGCTAAAAACACTGCAGCAGCTTCATTTCATACTGCAGCTTTCTTAAAAAAGAGAGAAACAACTCCCACGGCTGCAGAAGGGAATTAAACCCAGATCTTTGACTTTCTGTGTGAACAGGAATGAAAAGATTGAGGTTGCTACACTGTGTGACCTTTGTGCTGCACTTCAGTGTTTGAAGAGCAAGTCCACTTGCTCTTCAGCACAAAATCCATGAAATTCAGGCCAAAAGYTCTCAGTGCACATGGTGGGATTAAGGATGTGGATCCTAAGCAGACAGAATTACTTCTYTCCAGCCCCGAGTAACAGACTGGGATTGAAGGCTGGCATTAAAACTCTCCTGTCTTTAGTGTTCCCTGTTGATCAGGCAGCTCTGCTTGGTGGTTTCAGCTTTACAGGCAGACCCAAAGATCAAACACCTGCTTCTGGATTCAGTCCAGTAATTCTGCAGCTATAAATGTCGATCTGGAGCACTTTAGATTCCTATATTCTGGACTGGTTCCAAGCTCTGCATTGAAGCTCCTCCATTAAAGGGTCACAACAGAAACAAGTTRATATAAAAACAGACCTCAAAAATCTTCCTAAATGCTGTCATTTTCTGAAATAGACAATATAATTTCAATAATTTTAATGCTTCCCGAAGATTTTGTTAATTTGGAATGAACCAAATGAGTCTGCAGAGAATTGCATTCTATCCTGCAATAGCAGCATTGAAGTGTTCAGAAATGTAAAAGTCGAGGTAGACTCTGCTCCTCTGAGTCACAGACAGCATTTTCCTGACCTGCTGCTGGGAACCATTTGGAACACATGTTTACACGATTGCTTTTGCCAGCCCACTCTCAGCTGTCACCACCCCCACAGAACACAACAATAAACACTCTGCACACCCACCCTGGGTTACTGCAAAGGGATGGAGGCACCGAGAGCTCTGGAAGTTTCCACAACATCAATCACAGATTCCTCATTTTTGGTTAGYCACACTTTGACCCAACAACAATATGCAGAGTTGATTTCCAGGTGCAAATTTTATTGTGGATCATAACAAAAGGTTTCAGAATAAAAMCACAGGAAAAAAGAATCAGCAAGAGTGTCTTTTACTTACAGAGTACATGTATTCTGTGACAGCAACTAACTGCAGCTGAAGGCAATGCAGCTTAATTTAAACTAATAATTCTTTTTGGATACATGTTTAGCAAATTTTGGAAGTATTTTTTCTCAGTTTGGTATTGAAATTGAGGACCAAATGTTTCCAGACCCCCCAGGACAGCTCCAGGCTCTGCCCTGGATTTACCAAACCTCCTTCAAAACCCAGGCCCAGGGCTGGGACAGCCCTGAGACCCCTCTGGGACTGGGGAGAAACTCCAGGTGGAATTTCTGCTCATTCTTACAGGAGTTAAATCAATCCATTKGGATCCTTTTAATCATTTTTAAGTAACTATAAAAAAACTTGGGCTTKACTAAAATTCTAACAACTTCTATCTTAATATAAAGAGTGAGGAAAATTCTGTTTTCAGCAGTACCTCAGGATGCTGTGGATCAAGAATAAAAGCAAGGCAGGTATGGCAGAATTTGGCCCAGGGAACTTTTCCCTTCCCTGAAGGAAAGGGCTGCCCTACASCAACTGCTGAAAAACAAACTGTCTACAGTAGTGTTCTATATTTCTATAATATTCTGGATCAAAGCAATAAATATTAGATATAWTCTCTATATTAGATTTCATATTTATTTGATAGCTTTTTAAATCTACACTGTCTAAAATACAAGCAGTAAGCCACTCCTACATGGCAGCATAAGCTATTTGTGTGGATGTGCTAAAACTATCACATGGATTTCTATCTACACAGGACACTGTTGTTTATATATAGCAGATTTTACTTTATATAAATTCTTACCATAGGATAGGTAACTGTAAAGGTTGGATATTGTTTAAATGTTTCTACAGTTTTGCATAATTGCATTTCAACATGAGGATTTGATCATTCTGTCTCAATTTTATGTTTTATAAGSATGAAAATGGAGTCTGACAGACAAATCTCAAATAATGTTACACCCATATAGCACAAGAAATACTTATTTTCAAGTCCAGGTAAAGGAAACAGTTTCACTGTTCTCTTTCCACATATAAATCTCCTCTTWAAAAAAACTGCACTCCTGAAAACAAAGGCAATCAAAATCTTTYAGCAGTGTTGAAATGTAAAAGTGTTTCAGCTGAGCATGGTCTGCAGAAAAAACATCACACATTTTTTAATTGGCTATTACAATTACTACTAGGTGTGCAAATGAAAGCTTACATGTTAAACATTTAAATAAGCTGAAATTGCTCCTGGGATATACATGAGAAGTTCTGTCTTAGAYTGCTCAAAAAACATTTGGTTAATTCCTATTGTTTAACTTCTCTTATTAAAGATATGATGAAAATGTTTTCATTGAGGTCAAAATGTTCAGTTACTTCTCCCTATAAAAGGCAAATAACTGCTGTATTCTGTACCTCTAATTTCAGAAACTCAGTTAAAAAAGCAGAGGTAAGAAAAGATTTTAATAAAGATATTTAGTGTTTATAACAATTTCTCAGTTCAGAGATCCTCCAGGTATTTTCCTTTGACTTAAAACACTGACTTTCCCTTTTAAAAGTTCATATTATTTCTCAGAAAAATAATTTTGTAGCAACCCCAAGCATCACCTTCTTACCAACCATCTTTCATGTTTTCACCAAAGACAGAAAGTAATTGCTGGAGTTCTGACTGTGCTGATGTTGGACTGTTAAAGCTAAAACCAAACTGACAACAGCTTCGACTTGGTGATAATCAGATAAAAGAAATCTTTGTAGCCATGTGAGATCACTGAAGAACTTCACATTGAAATGAAATCTTTGCAGATGGGAGTAGTTTTGGTCATTTCTAGAAAATGAATCTTATTTGTTTGCATTGAAGATTATGCAGTGAAATACATTCATCAGAAAATCAACCAAAGGAACAATTCTAAATTCTATACAGCAATCTAAACTTGTAATCTGATAATCCTGGGATTWAACTACCAAAACAAAAACAAGCCATTCTTCTACTTTCTAAAACTATGTAATAATACAAATATTATAGAAAAACTGTATTACATAGATGTGTCATCCTGAAAAGTGTTCTTTGTGAAAAAGGTCACTGCCTTGAACAAAAACGAGTGACAAATGCAAAGTGTGCTCCTGTGGAATGCTCAACAGCAMATMCTGAAAGCAGAGTATCACATTATARTAAGTCTGAAGGAATGAGTTGCCACTTCACTTTGTACTATAAAATTAAAGCCTAATAATAGCACTGGAGATATATATTCATCAGGTTMAGTTTCTCCTTAGCTGTCATGTGAACAAGTGTATTTAACTGTTTCTGTCCATACTCATTCCTCTCAGTTAGAATGGAACTGTCTTACCATGGATRGAAAATATTCTTCCCCTTCCCAGAYTAAAAAAAGAAATATGTAAAAAATATTTAAGTACTCAGTAKAGAATATTCCTATGATTGGCTTCAAAGGCTGATTTGAATTAAACTTACTAAGTCTTTTTTTTCATTGCTGCTTCACCTATTAAAAATAGTGTGAAGGCAACTGAGACATGAATTCTCCCAGAATAYACCCAAATACCTTCCTCCAAAACTTTTTTCCATTGTAAATTATATTAGTTTAAAATCTACTATGAAAATAGTAGTGCAAGAAYAATCAATTAAAATTTCATCAGGTAAATAAATGGTTTAGTTCCTTTTAGGATAGATATGCAGAGGAACACCAATGGAAGATATGCTAATTATGATGCTTTCTTTGTTAACACTCCTTTGGGATCCAAATTAATTCTTCACTCCACATTCCTGTATTTGGAAAACAAATTGTACAGTACTCTCAGGGTAGACTTCAAGTCACAATTTACAATATCTAGAAAAAAASACAGGAGAAAACAAATTAGTAACTTCATTAGCTCCACACATTTTTCAGAAAACAAGTGCCTGTTCTCTACTCCCTTCCCTTGCTCACATTAATATGCATCAACATTAGATTACAGGGAGAGTAAAAAAGAGTAGAAATATCATTAAAACACAATTCTCAAACCGGGAACTCAAAACTTGGTGTTTTAACCACTTCTAGTTAGGGGTACCAAAAGCTGGTGCTGCTGATGTTGAAATGCAAGGTTTAGGTGCTCCAGAGCCAAAGTGTGCTCAGGATTACATAAACTGTATGACTTCATTTCAGTCAGTTGTGGCTGAAAAGTAATGACACTGAAAAAAATAATCACACAGTAACCAATGGAACCTYTCCTCTCAAGTACGAATTGCAGGACTTGGACATTCTGGGCTGCAACATCCTCCAGAAGTCTCATTTCAGCAAGATAGCAAGAGGCAAGTTTAAATTYTCCAGAGCATCTAAAAAAGCTAGGTATGCTAGGTGTACAAGTGCTCCTTGAACAAACATCTGAAAATTCTTGGAGTTAGCTGACATTCATGGCTGAATCAGTCCTCAGAAACTCAACATCTGAAGTACAGGATTTATATGAAACAAAAAGCTAATGAATACCTTCTGTTTCAAAGAGCAGTTCTTGAGAAAGTCAATATTATTTCAC